CGGCCTCGACAAGGAGACATTTGTTAATCAGTCGAACACTGATGGCTTGGTTGCATGTGAGCAGCACCGACATCCTGAGAGGACCACGGAAATTAATCGTTCACATTGACATGAATGCGTGACTGGTTGAACCGGTCTTTCTCTCGATAACAACTCTCTCAAATCTGTTACATTGCTTTGAGAAGAGTTACTCATTGAAGGGGAGACTTGGAGTGACACCCCTTGTCTGTGGCTAGACGAGGCGGGTTCTTGATGAACATGGATCTTGAATCCGTGTCGATCTCCTTGAACGCGACGGCTCACATTGCGTTTAACATTAGAAACGCGAGGGTCACGTTTTAACATTGAAATGTAGGGGTCGTGTTGAGGAGAGGAAACACGAAGGTCTCATTTTGGAGAGGAAATGCGAAGGTCATGTTTTGGAGAGGAAACTCAGAGTTGATGTTCACGCTCAACGCGAAGCTGGCCTCTGTGCTCAGGCTGGGCAATGCGAGGGCCGCGCTCTTCGTGGTCGTGAGATTTGCACTCCAACTAGGAAACACAGTCTTGAGGTCTGCGTTCAGTGCAGACCTGAGGTCCGCGTCTCGAGTGTGAAATGCGCCACTGAGGGCTGCGTTCGGTCTGGCTTCGGCGAAGCTTATGCTTGGGCACAAAGATGCGGAGTTCGTGCTCAGAAGCAAAAATGCGAAGCTCAGGACTGCGTTTGGGCTTGCTCAAAGTTGTGCTCGTCGATAGGATCTCCTTCTTCGACAAGCATCTCCTTCTTCAACAAGAAACGTTCTTCTTGGCCTGTCTTAAGGCTTTTACAGTTGCATCTTCCTCCATAGAGATCAATTACGCCGCTTCAATAGGCCTTTTGAGACCCAATACCTGTTGTTTAGGTATGGATATAGGATCTTCAACTCGATTGACGAGTTCCATTGGAGCTAAGTCTTCTCCTTCAGAGGAGGGACTGTCTGAACAGTCTAACCTAAGAGAGAGACTCTCCTTTGGTGGGTCGATTATGGGTGGAGCTTTAGTCTCTTTAGAGACTTTACGGGCCTTGCATATAGCCTTGGGGCTAAGGGGCCTGGAGGAGAGAAACTCCTCATACTTAGCTTGGTCAAACTCTACAGTTAGAGTTTCCACAGTAGTCCTAACTAGTTGGGTGTCAGATTGCGCCACCACTTCTTCATCAGTGAAAGAAATCATCCCCAGCGGAGTCACCATCTTTTGTTTGCACGAGAAATTATGAGAAAATCGAGAATTGAATCTGTGTTATTCTCTCTAACTGACTTAGAAAAAGAATGATTACAATACTCACAATATAATTTCTCTCTAACTGACTTAGAAAAAGAAACTATAATTCTCTTTATCGGTTCCCCGATTTACAAAAGAGGGAAGGATGAAACCCTCCCTTTGCTTAAAACTGGGTTCTTTCTTTATGGCGATGGGAGTTTGAATCTTGTATCCCATTGATAATCCGAGCACATCAACTTGTGGGGCTTTGGTCTTCTCTCTTTGACTTGACGCCTTGAGAGAACTTGCAAGGCAAGTTTATAACTCTAGCTGAGTTTTGAGAATTCTCTATGAGAGTGTTAAGAACTTGCAAGACAAAGTTCAGAACTCTACACGAGTTTGGGGGACTTGCTAGGCAAGTTGAGAAACTCTCTGTAAGAGAGTTAAGAACTCTAGGCGAGTTTGAAAGAAACTTGTTTGAACAAGTTAGAAACTCTCTGTGAGAGAGTTGAGAAACTCTAGCCGAGTTTAAATCCCCAAGAAGGGTTGATTTTAGAGAGAAGATGAAACTCAAGAAAACTAACCCAAATGGGTTTAAAGAGCAAGCCAAAAAGCTCCAAGAAAAGCTCCAAGAAAGCTCTAAGAATCCTCTCCAAGAAGCCTCTCTCCTTCTCTTTCTTCTCTCTTTTGATCCCCCTTTTCTCCTCTTTTTTCCAACCTTTTTTCCCAGCCTCTTTTAGAATTCTCTATGAGAGTGTTAAGAACTTGCAAGACAAAGTTCAGAACTCTACACGAGTTTGGGGGACTTGCTAGGCAAGTTGAGAAACTCTCTGTAAGAGAGTTAAGAACTCTAGGCGAGTTTGAAGAAAGCGTATTTGAACAAGTTAGAAACTCTCTGTGAGAAAGTTGAGAAACTCTAGTCGAGTTTAAATCCCCAAGAAGGGTTGATTTTAGAGAGAAGATGAAACTCTAAGAAAACTAACCCAAATGGGTTTAAAGAGCAAGCCAAAAAGCTCCAAGAAAATCTCCAAGAAAGCTCCAAGAGAGCTCCAATAATCCTCTCCAAGAAGCTTCTCTCCTTCTCTTTCTTCTTTCTTTTGATCCCCCTTTCTCCTCTTTGTCCAACCTCTTGTTTGTTGGAGATCCAACCCTATTTATAGGGTTATCATGGAGTAAGGTACCCCATAACAGGCCCTTAACTATGCCCATACCTTAATGGAATAGTTTTGAAAAGTGATCCAGCGTTAAAAAAGCAAGGGTCACGTTCTGGAGAGAAAAACACGAGTGAACTCTGTGCCTGGTGACCTTTGCGTTTGAGTTTGGGGTGACCTCTGGCGACCTCTGTGTCTGGCGACCTTTGCGTCTGAGCTTGGGACGAACTCCGCGTCTGGTGACCTCTGTGTCTGGCGACCTCTGCGTCTGACGACCTCTGCATCTGGTGACCTCTGTGTTTGAGCTTGGGATGAACTCCGTGTCTGGTGACCTCTGCGTCTAGCGATGTCTACGTCTGACGACCTCCGCGTTTTGCCTTGGAAGTGCAGGGTGACCCCTGCGTTTTGAGCTCCTGGGACATGGAAGAGGGTCTCCGCATTTGGATTTGTAGAGAACATCAATTGAAATCTCTTTTCTTTGACTTTTGTGCAAATTGTCATTTTGTAATCTTTACACTTGGCCTTTGTGGAATGTGAGAGTCGTCAATTTGTAACTCGTAACACGTTGCTGTGAAAGTCTTTATATTGTAACTTTCATTGACTGTTTGCGGGGGTCATCAGATTGTAACTTCCGCTTGTTGATGTGAAGGACGTCATATTGTATCTTTCATCATCTGTTGAATCTGTAGAGATCAGCTATCTGTAGTAGTTTTTAGACAACCTACAGTAGCAAGTTTAAGCATTGCTTGGACTTGCTTCATATCAGCCCGTGTTGAACTACCCAAGAGGGCATAGCCCTTCGGGGCGGTGATGGGGTGAGGTGGAGACTATATGGAGAACAACCTGAACTATGGTTAGCTTGATCCTGGTGGAGGGTACGTAGGCAGCCACTGTAAAGTGGCGTAGCTGGTTTGGCCTGGTTTGGTCTGGTTTAGTATTTCAGATCTCTCTGGTGATGTTTGTGGTGTTCTTCTAGTGTTTGTTCAAATTTTGAGGTTTATCAAATATTGTACGAGATGGAGAATTATGAACGTGGGGGCCACAAGCATGTGAACTGCCCACCCGACTTTGTGCAGTGAAACAACGAAACACCCTTTCAGTCGACGTCTTTGCTATAAATACCGAGGCGCTTTTCTTCTAGGGTTTTGTGGGAGAAAAATAGGGTTAGTTGGCTTTTAAGAGAAGAAAACAAGGGTTTCTTTGGCGGCTAGAAAAGAGAGATCTTGAGGAGAGAGCTTTGGAGAGATTTTACAAGAGAGAGGTCAATTTATTTTGGGTAAAAATCAAATCTTCTTCTTTTAAGACGAGCTTGTGGATTGTACAAGTCGTCGGTGTTCTCTTCATAGTGGAATCTCCCATTCCCCTTCCCCGTGGATGTAGGCAAGTTTGCCGAACTACGTAAATCTCATGTCTTTATTGTTTTCTGGGTGTTGGTTATTGCTTTTAGGTTCCCTCGACAATTCAGTGCTAGAACTGATAAGAGGAAGAGTGTATATCTCACTTTGTTGGGATATTTCACTTCTGTTCTTATTTCCTTCGCGAAACAGGAACATAGAGGTTATCTTGGGCTTTTGTGAAAACAAAAGCCATGGTTTTCTCTTGGGTTATATCGCTTTCGCGGCGTGAGGGCGTGACTCTGTGCCCAACACTAGCTTTTAAGCTAGCTTTTTATTTCTACTTATTTGGTAAAATGCCAAATAAGTTAGCTTATGAGTCCCATTTTAAAAGCTGATATACCCCAGCTTATAAACTCACTTAAAAAAGTTAGGTTTGACCAAGAAAGTTATTATTTTATTCAAACAATTTTTATAGTATTTTTATTAAAAAAGCCAAAAAACCATCAAAAACCAGCGAAACTTATAAGCTTTAAAAAAATAAGCCTTCCCAAACACCTCTACATTCAATATAGAAAAAAGTGATTTTCTTAATTTAAAATATAAGAAAAAAATAAGAAAAGAAAAATAGATTTAAAAAGAAATTAAAGCGGACAAAGTCAATACTTTAACCTAAGACTTCCATTGAGCAAGCGTTATCATTTGAGTATATACCTTGAAATTATTTTATTCACTAAAAAATGCAATTTTTTTAAAACATAAATATATATTTCGAAAAATATAAAAATGTATATAGACTATTCTTGTAAATTTTACTGTGAATGCCTTAGATCTTTTCACTCCTTAAAACAATTAAGAGCCGATTATTCTTAATCGTAATTATCTTTATTATACAATTATGTCCATTTTAAATCTAACACTGAACTTAGTGACTTGCACGCATATCTATTTTCCTTTTTCTTAATAATATAAATGATTTGCGAAAATAGATATTTTCATTGCACATGATAGTGGAGAGACCTTCACTAGTCATAGTTAATCATTTAATATAGAATTGCGATTCATATCCATGAGATTTGACTTGAGCAACATAGTAAAACTAATATGATTTGATTTGGTCACTATACTAAATTTGTCAAGATTTGATTCTATAGGCATTTACAGCTAAACGCTTAGCCTATCTTTTATGATTTGCAGTTAACCGTTTAATATAGAATTATGATTTATTTTAAATCTAACACTTAACGTATCATTTATGATTTGTGTTCATACCCTTATTTATTTATTTATCTAATGGTGCGAGCAACTTTGGTTTAGTACTAACCAAATAAACTCCGAAATTTAGGACCCCTCTTTCACAGCACATATTTAGGTGAATAATATAAGTACGGTTTTTCTATAGAGTGCTCATGGGCACTTTATAAGAGAGGAGAGAAATAGAGAGAAATGAATTATGCATAGAAATTAATGCAAATCAGAGGGGGACCATGAACTATTCATTTCTCTCTCTCTTTCCTCTCTTATAGAGTGCTCATTGGCACTCTATAGAAAAACCGATATAAGTATTGTAATACCTAATACTTAGAGCCGATACCCCAAGCTCCAATCACTAGACCACTTGCAGGTGTGATGATACCCATTTTCACAAAATTGGGAAAGTATAATCATGCATTATCTAACAATTGTAATTAGAACGGTGTTACAGGCACACTGCCTGCCACACCACCAGCACAACCCTCCTCTCTCTACAGTGCAATGGGGCCCACAAATGATTTTTTTTTAAAATCATTTGTGGGCCCCACTGCACTGTGAAGAGAGGAGGGTTGTGACTGGTGGTGTGGCAGACAGTGTGCCTGTAACATTTTCTTTGTAATTAAAGATAGTGGTACCTTTAGTGATCTTTCACATCTTTGACATGCTGCTTGTCCTGGAGAACTTGGATTGTTGGCTGAACGCGTGTCGATCACTTTCCACGAGAAGCCTTTCCGCTTTTGGGAATTCTTCAACGGGGAAGATCCATTATCCTTGCAGCTTTATTAATTATTATCACGTCTATGCTCGTTTATTTCTGGAATCAATTGGTCGTCAAAGACTCACGAAGTGCCAAGCAACTCACATATATATACAAAGCTACTACTGACGGCAGATGATTCAAAGACCTAGCTAGCTACATCTAGGCACCTGATGCTCCTAAGAGTTTTGCTTTAATGGCTACGCCACGGCAAAGAATAAAAGTCTATTTCACAAAAGGTGCTCCTTGTAGCTTAATAATTGTTGAGGATAAGATTCAATATATAAGATGGTAGTCACATGCATGTACCATGCATGAAGTGCTAAAAGCATGAAACCATATCCTTCAACTATCAACATAGCCGACAGCTGTAATTGTTTGGTATGGTCCATAGTTTCTTAAGGAGATAAAAAAAGATACTGCTCTCCATGGGCCTAGCTTTTAGCCAACAAAAGGGCTCCCGACTTGCGCGGTCGTGTTGAAGTATCAAACTATATTACTCGACTAGGCCTGTCCATCCATGCCGGTCCGGTCCGGAAATCCGGGCCCGGGCAGGGCAAAACCGGAGCCCGAACCCGGACCCGGGCCTGACCGGGCCGGGTTACGGGCCGGCCCAGTTTTTTTCTTTTTTTTTTAAATTTATTTTTCACGTAGTAGAAAAACGACGAAACTAGACAGAACTATTTAGCGAAATTTTTTCCGTCTAGATTGGATCAAATAGAACGCGAAAAAATTCCGTCCTAGATTGTTCCGCTAGTTTGGATCAAATTAGACGGAATTTTCCCAGTCTATTTGACAACCAGTACGAACAGACAACCTAAGAGGGAAAATCCGTTGTCTAGTTGCTCAACTAGAACGGAATTCTCTTAGGTTGAGTATAGCAAACGCTATGAGCGGCGTCCGTCTCGGTTGTATAGTCAAGACTAGAAGCGGAAATTCCGTTAGGTTTTGAGGCACCTAGACGAAATTTCGCTAGGTTCCTCTGGAGATTTTAGCGCCCTACCAGGCCGCCACTGACTTGCACCCTCCCATTTCTCTCAATCTATCCACCGCGCCCCTTGTTCGTCTCCCCCCCGACATCCCCCCTCCTCCGGCCTCCCCCCCGCCCCGTACCCCGGCAGCCCTCCCCTGGCGGCCTCCCCCCGCGAGCCCCCTCGGCCACCCCCCTTCGCCGATCCCCCATCCCCTCCCCCCCATCCGGACCCCCCCTCCTCCGACCTCCTGCCCCCCGCCCCTCCCCGGAGCCCCCTCCTCGACCCCCTCCTCCGGCCCCTCCGAGCACCCCAATTCCGACCCGCCTGGGCCGACCCCCCCTGCCAGCGCTCCCCCCTTCACCTGGGCGCCCTCCTCCCGCTCCCCCTTCGGCCCCCCCTCCCGACCCCCTTTTGGCTCCCCTTCCCGGACCCCCAATCCCCCCCGAAACCACCGGAACCCCTCCTTCGGCCCCCCCCCTCCGCCGCCCCGCGCCCCCTCCTCCCGACCCCCTCTTCGGCCTCCGTCCCTCCCTCCTCCCGTCCTAACCGGAACCATCCGACGCCCCGACCTCTCCTCGGAACTCCCGACCTGCCGCCTCCTTCGGCGTGTCTGCGGAAATCAGTTGTAAGAGGTATGATTTGTTCTACTGAGCTTAGAATTTTCATATTTTTTATTAATTATTGTTGATTTGTTAAACGCCTAATTTTGTGAAAATAAAGCGAGTTCAAATTCTGAAAATGTCTAACTTAATATAAACTACATGTTAATTCATGTTGAAGCAACATAGTTATCATTATTGAGTTTTAAACACTTATAAAACGCCTAACCTCATTTAAGTTTCATTCGTGCTATAAGTATGTATGATTATTTTAAGTCTGTGATGTGAATAATATGTGAATATTTTTTTTGTAAAAAATAGAAGTGATATAATAACACATTAATAATTTTTATCATGTTGTTATAATTCGCAATTTAGTGCTGAATTAAAAAAATAACGGTTATCCTAGACTTCGTCCAATAATTACAATACCGATTATTTGGACTTATAATATTGATAACGACTCAGCTTTTGGGTAGAACGAAGTTTTCTTTCAAATGAGCCGTTTATTTTATAATTAATAGGATAAAAAATTGGTACTGGAAATTCGTAATTATTGGATCTGTCCTTCTCGACCGGTTAGGATTATATGTAGTGGCATACATCCACTCTTGTATACTTGTTATTTTCATCTCTTGAAAGTTTTGGCGACGTATTCGTTGTTCTCCGTGTACAATAAAAGCGTATGTTGTTCTGGCGTTTCGGGCTATTGCTGATACACGACTAATAACCCGCACAGTTGTAGGATGGGAGAACAGCGGGTAGGTGCTGGCGAAGCCATTTTCAAAATGAAAATATACAAAGTATATGAAGTTGGATGTAAGCACTACTATATTCTTATGGATAGAATCCTTCCTATGACAGCCGATCGAACTCCTTGGTGTAATTAGTTCTAGCGTACGTTTCGAATGATACTTTTATGTAGAATAATTTATATATGTTAAATGATGATATGAACGATGTTAGATTTGTTTTGTATGTATAAGAGTCATGAATGTAACTATGATCTGTGTGATTTGTCGTAAGTTAATAATTATAATAAATTTACAGATGAGGGTAATTCCTGCAATCATGGATCTAGATATCCACTGCTTCATGATTTCGTGACACGCATACAAGGGGGATGTAAGGCCTTCATACGTTATGCAGAAAATGAATCGAGAAAATAGCAATGTGCTATGTATTGTCTTGCTGTGTAGGAAATTTGAAATTGCTGAATCAGTAATGATATAACGGATCCACCTATGAAATGAGGTTTTGATGAAAAATATTAAATATTGACTGGCATGGGGAAGAGTATCCACTGAGATTATGATCAAATGCGTAGTCGGTAACGTCCGGTGGACATGAATAGATGACACAGAACAATTTGCATGATATTTTTCCTCGAGCCTAGAGATGTGAGGGTGATGAATATTCGAGATGATATCGAGATACAAATGAAGATGATATTGTGATGTTTGAAGCTGAGAATGTAGGAGATGAGTGAAGTCCGAAATATTGCATGATATCTCCTACCGGAAATGAACGAATTTGACTA